GAGTTTACTGAGTTAATTAAAGTATAGATCACCACTGCAGATCACCAAAGTGATCAGTTTATATAATTTTGGTTAACTATGGTTGGGTGGGAGTGGTGCGATCTCTTAGCTCATGTCAAAGTTACTCCTTGCGGTTAATGCTTAACCTCGGTTATTCTATTGTAATAGTCAGGTGAACCGAATTTCTAGGTGACTGGTGAGTATAAATAGCCTCCATAAAAAACAGCTTATGTTGATGGAAACAGGTCGCAGAAGTAGAAAGAGAAGCCATTATCACATCGTCTGTCCATGGCGTGTAGTCCACTAAATCGTATACGTCATTATTTAACCCGAATTATGTTTGATGGACTGTCTAACTTTAGTGATATGTCGACTGACGTAGAAGAGGTTCAACCTGATTTTTTAAATGTTCGGTAACGTTTCACTGCATTTCGGGTCTCTCAGCTGGATCAAAACAAGAAATATTAAATCCCTTCACTACACACAGTATTCTATCGCATGTTCAGGTTCCAAAAATGTCATGCCGGTTAGATAAACAAATCAAGAGAGACCATTGAGAGATTGATTGGAAACCCCGAATTATTCATCACAGTTATCAAGACAGTGCAGAATGATCAGACGTATACCTGCTAAAAAGTACAGGATATAATGTAACATATGTGAAATATTTTCATATCATATCACAGTTTCGACAATCAGGATTTTGAAACTTCCCACTGTAGTAGGTTGGATTTATTAATTTAAGTGAACCTCCACTTTTCACCCAGTCATCCAAATATTCTTTTCATCTTTCTCTTTTCCAGATTCTCTGACATACAGTCCTTTACCAGTCCATCAGACACACAACCCATCTTCAGACTACATCAACATTTAAACTTGGATGCCACCGTGATGTATGATGAATTTGAAAAAAGAACCTTAATAATCTTCTCAGGCTTTGCTTACTTACTGTTTGGACAGGCATTTTCCAGCTTTGAAATAAGACGTTTGTTCCTTAAATTATCCCGAAGTTTGTTTCTTCACTCTGATTATCAAGGTTGTCGTACTATAAACAATGCGAAGTTCTAACTGAGATTACAATGTACCGGTGTCTTTCCGGTAGAGCATCGTCACTCATTCTGTTTGTCCTGAACGGACTTTCCATAGTAACACTCGTATCTTAAACCTTAGCTGATTTTTAGCTGTTTGGGGTTGCTTTAATATCCCTTGGGATTGTATGTGTCGTTGACCATGGAAATATGTCTGAAGTTGTTGGAACCTCACTCTATTCGTCTGGAGTGTACATAGTCATCTTCTTAGGACTTGTTATTACAATCGTAGCTCTATGTGGTTACATCGCAGCTGATCGAGAAAATATCTGCCTGATTGTGTCAGTAGGATTTGCATATAATCAAATTTCGAACATTTGTAGTATATATTCATTTTATGCTTACTCGCATTACTCTTGTTGATATCAGGAATAATAGTTTTGTCCTTTAGAAGTTCAGTGAGTGAATTTTAAAACTTTACAGTCACGTATTTTACAATTTAGCTTGGTGAATCGGCTAGAAGTGTGATGGTAGATTCGTTAAGGAATCACTATGGACGATATGGGATTATAACTGATGCATGGGACTTGGTACAGAGGCACCTACGTTGCTGTGGAGTGGATAACATTGGATGGGGTGTGTATAACGGATCGTGGTGGGACATGATTGTAAACTCGGATTTATACGAAACGAACACTAAATTGTCAGGTATATAAAGACTACTTCGTGATTGACATATGATAAAGAATCAAGTTTGTTTTACTTGTTTGTTCCAGAATCTTGTTGTGTCAAGAAACTTGATGGGTTGACTGGTTGGCCAACCGAAGTATACCGGGATAGGAGACGCTGCCAGACGTGGCAGTACGGACCACCAAATAAAAGCAGTGGACCTCACAACGACGCTATTTACTATGCAGTAATTTTTTTTATAGTTAGTATGTTAATTTTGTTTAGGGATGCTTTGAAAGTTTGAAAAGTTATATCAATAATTATGCTAAGGCTGTTGGCCTCTTGGCACTGATCGCGTGCATTATCTTGGTAAGTTAAATTTTCTCTTAAATCAATCTGTGTACAACCGAAGTATTAGTTATGGAGTTGTAATTATAAATCAGGTGCCGATTAGATAGTAAGACTTAAATACACCAACCCAGTAAAAATTTGATAAAATACGCACGTATTTGCACCTTACGGAAATTGTATGGACACTAGTTCAGCGATTATCTGACTGAAAATTAACGAAAATGACGATCCAAACGATGGTGGACAATATATAAGTCAAGGAACTGGTGAGAACCAAATACTAGTAAACACTGCCAAAATTTTTTAACGGGCCTTCATGTGAAGTTTTTTGACTAAAATATTCTTAAATCCATTAATTATCTAAACAGCCAGCTCTAAATACCAATCGCAAAAAAGCACTTTAGTCGTATAGGTTGACTAATCTCAAGATTTTTGGAGATTTATCGGATGAGTAATCGCCAATCCAAATAAAGTTCCAAACATCACATCTGACAGTAAAGGAATTTTTGTATTTTTAAAATCGCAAGCTACCGTATATGACCATGAACTAGCTAACTCGAGGAAAGAACAAACTCAAAAACTAGATATGCTGTTACTTCTACAGATTTAATTACGAACTCATTATCCTAGGTATACTCTAAGACATGTATATATGCTGAAATTTTACATTCCTTTCATAGAAAATAAACTCTTCGGTTATCGTTGAAGTCTTTTGCATTCGACAAATGGCGGATTTCACCTGTTAGCTCATTGGTCGGACATAGTCTTTGTGTTCACAATACCGCAACTTACTAATATTTTCTAAATGTACTGTCTCATTTCTTTGAAATCACCAAACATAAACCTTGATACATTTCACCGGGAATGTCGAAAGCAATCAAAGTCTACCCCAATTCTTGTACTTTTATTAAGTAATTCTAAACACATAAGTTTGATTCTAATAGGAAAATTGCTGTTGTAACCGGATTAATTTTTACTTTTTCTCAACTAACAAACTCCTATCTCGTAATATTTGAAGTGCCACAGAAAATTACACTAGTTGCAACCAAACAAGTAAACATTTCTGTGCTTAGCTCAGAGCACAGTTTATGAATTGACGTTATTAGTACTACCCAGATTCTAAGTTCTTAAACGCTGATTAAATCAAAATAAGTCAACTGTAGTAATCGTCAGATTTCTTATGAATGGTTTATGACTATTAAAGTCACGGACATCGATGACCAAAATCTATTCAATAAAAATTATGACTGAGATGGAAGGTTGTTATAATCTGAAAAACTAGTATTTACATAAACATGCATATATCATATTATATAAATGTATTGAACTGATTTCGACTAAATTCACATTATAACCGATCTGCAAAATAACATATTTCTTAATCGACATAATAACTGGTAAGATTTGATGTGCAGAAAAGTTTAAGATCAAACGTCTGTATGACCACTATCACTTTTACCAAAATTTGGAAAAATGGTTATACCGGGCTATTTTTCAGTCTAAACGTTCTATCACTTTACGAACTCATTTTATTGTAAGTGAATGGTAATCGCATGAAACAAAACATTTCAAAAGGCTCTAAGAATGGGACTAGCACACTTTAGAGTCGTTATTTGTTGTTAGTTCCATAGTACTTTAGTTTACGGACAAGCAAAGGTGCTTGGATGTTAGATGGAAATTTGTAACTCATATGTGAAGGAGTCCTAGTAACTCATTTCTATCTAAAGTTTGTGCTGGTGGTGTTAATTGGAAAGATAGTGAGAGCTTCAGAAAGAACCACTCAGCTCATAGAGCGCAACTCCATCGAAAATTGCTTGGTTATACCCTTTGATTTAAATTGATATGTGCCAGCGACTTAAGGTTAAACAGGTTGTCTCTGAGCAAATAAATTATTCTATTGAAACTGACTTTGTGGCGTAGATATTACCTCCGTGTGTCATCCTTTTGTCAATCTATATTATTTTGTACTAATTCAATAATAATGTAGTAGTTTTTGGCGTTGCTTACGACCTACCATCTTAGATACGGTTTTCGCAACCAATGTATATAATAAAAATTTCTGATTGAATTCCAAAATCCAGATAAGCGCTTTGATCTGTGCATTATTTTTGTTCCGTGATGCTAAACTCAATGCTCAAAGAAAACAAAGAACAAAAAACTGGAGGAATCAGACACAATATAAGTAGATCAATTATATGGTTGACTGGAATACGTTGAAGCAACAGTGAAGCTGTGATTATATATTGCTGGGAAGGATACTAATCATATATAATTTATTTTATTACTAAAAAGTAAAGTATATTTATTTTCTAAAAATTACCCTTTTTATCTATTATATCTTCCAAAAATTAACCTCCGAAAATTTGTGAGAACTCCACTTGGTTCAATGAGACCATAATATAAAACAAGGGAAGGAGATGAACTTTTGTCCATTTATGAGAACTGGGGTATGGAGATTGTAGTAATTTTACTAGTTGAATTCATGAGTCGATCTAAGCTAGAGCACCATTGAAAACTTGGTAGCACTGGACGGCCACTTTTTCCTGGCAGAGCACATCTATTATCTTGCATGAGGGACTAGAACCCACGACCTTCGATCTCGCGTGCGAACAATTAACCTTTAGACCACTGAGCCGGAAGCCAATGACGTTAGTGTCTAGCTTCAATCGACCTATGATCGTGGGTAGTCATCCATCCACTATAAATTTAGCTAAAACTAGAAATGATTCCGTTTAAAATAACACTTCGTAAGGTTCATAAGACAACATCTTTGAAAGCGGTTCGACTGCAGTAAAGTGTGTCGCAAGCTTTAAGATGTCCGGATCCATAACGATGTTATAAATCCTGAGGAAAAAGTTAAACAAAAAAACCATTTAGAAGTATAAAATTTATCTTTCACTTAAATATAATACACAATTACAGGAACTGATTATTTACAAATGTGTACAACGGTCACTTTGATCTCTTACCAAAACCACCAAATCCCATAGCTGCTGCGACGTCGGAATCTTCAAACTGTTCATCATTTCTACGCTTTTTCTCTTTGCGTTTTTCTTGTTTATAAGCCCTAAATTTCTCTTCTTCCTCGGCAATTTGTTTCATTCTTTCATCTAAACTGTACTCTTCCGCCTTTTCTTCGGATTTTTGCTTGTGAAGCTGAAACCTATGGCAGAGTTATAATACCACAGTAATACCTTTCTTTAACTTCTTCTAAAGTTGACCTCTTAATCCTCATTGACATTCCCATATTCCTTTGATGTTTTTTACCGTTTATATGGTCCAAATAGTTAATTGAATCTTTCACAACACAGTCACAAACTTCACAGTAGTAGCCTGCTTGTGAAGATCCTGGTCCGGTTTTTGCAATAACTTGAGATTTGTTCAGGTTAGATTCCAGGTCAATCTGTATGATATAATTTTTATAGTTTTAGGAAGACCTACTGTATAATCACGAGCTTTTAAGTACTCCTTTTTCATAGTTTCCTTTTCTTTTCGAGCATTTCGCATAGCTTCTAACTCATTGCTAAGTTTATCACTCGCCAATTTCTCAAAATGAGCTTTGTCCCATTTTCTTCTGTGGTCAACAGGATTCTAAAAAGGAAGTCTTTTCCACTCATCATACTTACGGTACCGGCCATTTTAACAACAAAATACTTGACTATCGAAATGCTCTGAAAGGAAAGCTTCATTTAATAAATGCCGAGATTGGAATTGATAGTTTCAAATAAATATATTTTTGTGATAACCCAATGATTAGAGAAATGTATCTTTGAAGTTTCGTGACTTGAAGTAAGTCAAATTGTGAGCATGACTTACATCTAAGAACATGTAAATTTTAGGGTAGCACTTAACTCCATTGATCGACAAGGTTTTATGACAGTGTCATACCAAATTACATTAACCGAGTACAGGCTTTCTACTTGAACACAAGTGGTCATAAACATTTCTTTAAAGGCAACGCTCTCATCGTGTGACTTTGCAGGAATAAATATATCGGGAGACTAACTTGTCGAGTTGGAATATACAGATGATAGTCCAATTCGGTGAAGACGCTGAGATAATATAGAGTCTTCTGACCGTCTTGAACAACCGTGCTAACATTTACGGTATACGTTTCACTCCACCCAAATGTCGCTTCAGAACGTATTTATTTATCTAAACACATAAAGATTGATACAAGGAAGCATCCCGTACCTATATTCACACTAGGTAGCGAGCAGTTAAAATTAGTCAAGAAGTTCGTGTATCTAGATAGCTGTGTAAGTCCTGGTGGTGGCGCCAGTGATGAGATTAATTCACGTATGATCAAAGCCAGAGCATTTTATGCCAACCTTGGCCATCTTTGTTGCCTCCATAATGCTAATATCTGTAGAAGGTCGAATCTACAATACGTCGGTGAGAGTAGTCTTGTTCTACGTTTATAAAACCTGATCTCTTCAAGTTGAGCATGTCAAGCGACTCTCGTCGGTCGATCATGGTTTCTCTGAAGGGTTACTATCGTTTAATGGAAACACCATGCTAATAATGTGGAGGTTCGGGAACATGTGTTCAGCAACAGTGACGATAATTCAATTAGTGTCACCATATTGAAATACTGACTGCAGTGGCTTGTACATGAGGTAGGGATGTAGTCCCAGCAAATTCCACATTGTGAATTGTTTTCCGTCGCTGAATAATTTGAAAAGCAGAGAGGTAATGTATGACATGGTGTCGTGATCATTTTAACATGCGTAAGTCTAATTGTTAATGACTTCGTAGACTGATGCCATGGTTTGGTCGTCCCTGGCTTTCTACCAGCCTACTGAAACACCAGAAAACATTGCCCTCGCGGTAAGCGGTAGTTGACACATGTAATACAGGTCCCAGCCACCTGAGCTGATGAAGATTCACAATAAAACCAACCAATTTCTCATTCCTAGCGAGTTCTCTACTCCTAACCTAGGCAATCTTTACTCTCTAGTCCAAATATATAAGACCGATTCTTCGAGTACTCTCAGTTATTGTAACTAGACGGTCTGTGTTCTTACTTGTAAACTGGAATGATCAGAGATCAAAACCAGTCGGATGGGATTACTCACAGTCCACAGATTCTAGCTAAGATCTCAGTTAATCAAACTGCTAAAACTGGACTACCATCCGTAAAAGTCTCAGGGCTTAGTCCATCAGACCCGGCTGATCTCCCTATCTTTTGATTACTTAGTCTTTTCAAACTCACTGAGTAGGACGACTTACATCAGTTTGCGATTCAGGTTACTTGAAGATAGTGGGTAACTGAAGTGTGATCGAAGGCTAGTTAAACTGTCCCCTAAGGTGTTCTCCACATTGATCCAATCTCATGGATTGAGAGTGAATAATATTCCTGTCTTTTCCCGAGGTAGTTTCACTAATAGCCACATTTTTAATACCGGTTTCCTCGATAACTGAGTAGTTGTCTGTTGCTACCTGTAGCCGCAGATTTTCCGTCTCTTTTGCTTTTGTTACCCACCATTGTTCACGATCACTGTGTAGGCTTTTAGTCAGCCTACGTCTGGGCTGTCTCAGCCCCTCATTGTGTTCGGAGCCAGATAGGATGAGATTCTTAGCATCTATCGGTTCTGTAGACGTCACTGAAATCGGCTGGTTGTCCCTAACATTTTTGTTTAATTTTCTGGTAGTTATCACTGCCGTTTCCACAGCATTTCGTTTATCGTATCAAGCTATCTCGTGGTGGATATGATTTTGACGGTTGACTAGCAGTTGCTCCTGAAATATATTCTTGAATTTTCCAGGACTAAGTAGAACGCTTAGGAGTTTTCCTGCTGCCACTGTTTTACGTTCAGTAATACCCTCAAGTGTCCTGGTACGGTCAAGGGTGTGGAAAGTCCGCTCTCTCTCTCGAAATACTCTCACATGGCCATGCGTATACAGCCACTGCCGGGGAAATCTTATTCGCTAAATACAAGTGGGCCGCACAATGACAGTGAGGTTGTGAAGAGACAGAGGAGGGTGGATATACCAATAAGACCACAAGTTAATAGGAATCGGTAAGTGAAAGTGAAATAATAATAATAACAACGGAAGCAGTTCAATTAGAAGAAATACAACCAGAAAGAATTCTTTCAACCAGAAAGTTACGTTCACATTTATGAGGAAAGTAATAGAGAGTTACAGCAGAATCGTTACTGCCTTCTATTCTGAGCCATGTCTGATAACGTCTGAAGCCACTGTGTTGCATCATCTCTGGGGCAACCACAGCAGAAATTTACATAGGTAAATGGGATGTTCGGACAATGTGGGAGAATGGGAGGACCAACTAAGTAGCTGTGGAAAGGAGGAGATAAAATTTGGCGGTCCTTAGAATCAGTGAAACCCATTGGATCCAAAATTGGACAGAAAAGATTAGATACGGGAGATGTGCTGTTGTACTCTGTTCACGAAGAAAATGCTTGCCACACACAAGACGTTGCTCTGATTTCGTCCAAAGAAGCGCGAAAAGTGCATGTAGGATGAGAATCTCATGGATTCAGGCTCATCAAAGCATCTTCGAAAGTAAAGCAGGGGATCACACTCGATGTCATCCACTGCTATGCACCCACCAATGATAGCAATGAAGACAATAAAGGACAGTTTTATGGGAGGCTGTAGTTGATCGTAGAGAAGTGCGTAGGAAAAGACCTAACGCTCCTAATGGGAGGCCAAAACGCCAGAGTCGGAATGGACAACACAGGGTATGAAGATATCAAGGGACTACAAAGGCTTGGAGAAAGGAACGAGAATGGCGACAGATTTGCAAATATATGTACGTTCGACAAAATGCTAATAGTTGATACCATATTCTCCAACAGACGCATACACAAAGCCACATGGGTCTCGCCGGATGGCACTACAGAGAACCGTATCGATCGTGTTTGCACCACCAAAACAATCGGAAGATCAGTGAGATGCGTAAGAACAAAGAGAGGAGCTGACAAAGCTTCAGATCACCAACTAAGGGTGGCCAGGATAAAACTCACACTAAAGAAGCACTAGATAACTAGAGAAACAGAATTAGGACGGTTTCTTACAGTCTCCCTTCGAGATACTAAAAACTCGACAAATTCAAAATAACTCACAGCTACAACTTCCATATCCTACATGACCTACACAACGAAGAGGAAACTACCACATAGAACAACTGGAAATACGTTACAGAAGCAATAACTTCAGCGTCTCGAGAGGTCTTGCGTCCCAAGAATCATCGTTGGACAAAAGCTAACAAGAGAGTAGAGAGGAACATTAGAGCCGATAAGCAGAAATATTTGGGAAACATAGCAATAGCAGAGGAAAATGATGCAAGAGTAAGAAATATGAGACAACTATATGATGCAACATGAAAACTAGAGGGGAAATATTGTGAACCAGAGAAGCCAGTCAAGGACAAAGAAGGCAAGTCAATCACTGAGATTCAAGAACAGAGGAACAGATGGGTAGAACATTTCGAGGGACTCTTAAATTGGCCAGCAGAGTGTTGCTGAACAGGATGGAAGACTCAGTAGATGCCCAACTTCCAGATTAACAGACCGGATTTCGTAACGATCGGTTGTTCATAGGCTGAATCACGAAAATACGGATCATCGTTAAACAATTCATTGAATGGAACTTGCCACCACACATCAACTTCCTTGAATATGAGAGAGCATTTAACGGTGTGGGTAGGAGGACCTTATGGAAACTTCCTCGACACCTTGGTGTACCTGGGCAAATCGTCAAAATCATCCGGGATTCACACGATGGACTACGCTGCAATGTCGTGCATGGATAACAACTGACAAATGCATTCCGAGTGGAGACCGGTGTCATACGAGGCTACTTACTCTCGTCTTTCCTTTTTCTTCTGGCGGTCGACTGAATTATATCATATATCAGGTTTAGCACAGAATACAATGGAGAGATTGGATGCGGCTAGACGATTCGGATTTCGCAGATGAACTATCTTTTCTACTTCATACACACAACAACAAATGCAAGTGAAGACACCCTTTGTAGCAGCAGCCACCGCAGTAATATACCTAAGCATACACTAGGGAAAATCCAGAATCCAAATTACAACGCAGTGAGCACCAACCAAATCAATCTTGATGTAGAAGCTCTGAAAAAGTTGTGGAGTCTATTGTACCAGGGTAATATCATTGATAAGCAAGGGGGATTTGATGTAAATACGAAGGAATTAAATGAAAAATCAAGGGCAACATTCCTACAATCGAGGGACATTTAAAACTCAAAACAAATGTCAGCCAACGTCAAAATCAGGACCCCCAATACGAGCATCAAGACAGTTCTATCATGAAGAAAACAACAACCTGCTGTAATAGATAAGAAAACCAGGTTCAAGCTGAAGAGGGAATTAGAATGAGGCGCTGATGCTGTATAGAACATATATTGCGCATATCATAAAACTGCACCATAAGGCAATCCAAAACTTGGAATTCAGAAGGTAAAAGAAGAGAAATCAGACCAAGGAACACATTGCATGGAGTATCGCAGACAGATATCAGAAGAATGGATAGCAACTGGAAAGGACTGTCTAGGACATAGTCCGATGGAGAATCCTAGTGGGCGGCGAACACCCCTCTTCATGAGAGGTAACAGGCGTAAATAAGTAGAATGAGATGTGACATTT